ACACTTTAAATCATCCCTATATTACTTACATGTAATATAACATAAATGCTATGTAAATAGTTGTTATGCTGTATTGTTTAGGGAATGATAACCGAAAAAGAAAGTTTGTACATAATCAGTACAGACACAATTTTTTTTCAAATATTTTCAATCAATCAATGGTTAACTTAATCCACTGATGTGGACCCTTCAAAAAATAGAGACAACTGTATTTACATGATATATGCAAAATTTCAAGCATATATCATCGGCTTTTTGTGGGGGAAGGGGGGTGTTTTTGAGACAGGGTCCTCTGTACTGGCCTGGAACTTACTATGTAGACCAGGTTGGCCTTGAACTCATAGAGATCCACCTGCCTCTGCCTCCGGAGTGGTAGGATCAAAGGCCCAGCGCATTCCATCAGCTTTTAACACCAAGATGCCTAAGTCACTGACCTGCATTAAAGAGAAAGATTTGGGGGTAGGAGATCTTGAAGAAGCAGGGTCCTTGAGCTACAGTACCAGCTCACTTACCTGCTAGCTGGGTGAACTTACGGAAATGACACAACTGCCCTGGGCAGGTACAGCCTCTGATCAAGAAACTAGGTCAAGTTCATCAGTCAATACAAAGAAGAAATCTTACTAAACTAACCTTACTAAATCCCGAACATAACAGAAAATGTAATGAACACTGACAGCATCCAAGACTAATCAAGCATTTTTGTCACATTTGCAAGTCTAACTTTACATTTCTGTTTGCAATGAAACAAAGAAACATCCACAAGAGATGGGGCTGGAGAGGTAGCTCAGCGGTTAAGAGCACTGGCTGTTCTTGCAGAGAACCTGGGTTCAATTCCCAGAAGTCACATGACAGCTAACAACTGTCTATAACTCCAGTTCCAGGGTAATCCGTTACCCTCTTCTGACCTCCACTGGCATTGTATGACATGGGTGCACTTACACATGTGCAGGCAATACACAATATACTCATACATGAAATAAAAATAAATAAAATATTAAAAGAAAGATACATAACAGAGAAATGCACTAGAAAGGAAAAGATCATGTCAGAATCTGCCTTCTCCTCTATATGCTCTTCACCCTGTCCTGCCACAGACTCCCCAAAAGCCACTTGCCTCACAGTCCTGCAACCAAGGAGAGGATTAGAAACCATCTTCCATGACTTCCAGAAACATGGACAACATAGGGGTCCCATGAGTATTTGTTGAAAGGGCTAAGGAACAGATGAGAATGTGATTTTGCTTTTACAGGTATTAAATGATCCTGGAAAGTTGCTAACTACCACTCCTGATCATTCCATATATTTAGACTAACTTAAAATGCAGCTCAACACTTAGGTCTAAAGAGCAGTCACTCCACAGGGAGGGTAAAAATAGCATCATCAGCATAATCACAATACCTTAACATTTCAATTTGAAAAGCAATGTGCTGTTTATAAATAGATTTACCTCCACTATCTCATTTAATCATCACTGCTATTATATGCAGAATAAAGAACTTTATTGCTGTAGTTTTGACGGTACAAGGAGAAAAAGGTGAGATCCAAGCCAATCTTCACATATAAGATAAACAAAAGCATACTGAACTGAAAGGAATCTAGAAATTGATCCTGTCCATCCTCCCAGAAAAACCTTCATAAACGTGGTCATTCTTGGGACTGGAGAGATGTCTCAGCAGTTAAGAGGACTGGCTGCTCTTGAGGAGGACCCATGGCTGATTTTCAGCACTCAATAGCAGCTAACAACCATCCGTAACTCCAGGTCCAGGGGATCCAACACCCTCTCCTAACCTCCTCGGGCACTGAGCAACATGGGTGCACCTACCTACATGCAGGCAAATATACACAGAAAAAAATTAAGAAATAAATATTTTTTAACATGGTCATTCTTGATTTTATTGTTATTTTCTTTCTCTTCAAAAAGCTCTGCAAATTATCTTAATAGTTTTACCTGCTGTTGGGGGGGGGAGGTGCTTCCTGTAGGTGATAGTTAAGTATTCAACCATAGAGCAGGCCAGTGTACAAATACCCTGAAGAAAAGGGGGAGAGGGATATGGCCTACAAGGCAGACACCCACACCAGCCAGAAAAGAAAACTTTCATGTTTAAATTGCTAAAGAAATTCTGTCTTGATAATCTTAGAGTTAAGTGTAAAGGATACATTCCACATTCCACAAAACAAAATCCCTAATCTAAACAGATATTATCTTGTCTCAGTTTAAAAGACAGTAGAACTGTTTTTCCCATCTCATATTCATTCAATCAACAAGTAATCCTGGGCCCTGACTACATGCCAGGCACCAAGCCAGGCACAGTACAAGTGATGCATATAATTATTCAGGATTTGAAGTTACCACTATTTCCCTGAACCAAGATTAATAAAAACCCTGGCTTAAATATTAAGACGAGGCCTTCACCTTGGCTGTCACCTCTGAGAACATTTAAGAAATTAATAGCAACCTCAAAGATCAACCAGCTTCTTTCATTTGTTTTACCATTTCAGTCCTGTTAAAAGTAGTTCAAAATAGCACCCTCACCTTTTTCTTTCTTTCTTTGGACTCTCCTCCAAATAAGGTTAAGTGATGACACCCAGTATTAAAAACAATGGACATTACCTCCACACACAGCTCTTCCCACCAACAACTAAAATGTCCAATACTGTGTAAAGAGAAGAAAGAGAAAGGACCACACACCGTTACTCCTGTCAAGTACACAAAAGGGGCACTTCCTCTAGTCCACTCAGCGAAACCTGCAGCCTAACTTGGAATGAAAGGACCATGTTTTTTCCTACTGGAAGGTAAGTATAAGAATTTAGGAATTGATTTACTTTAAAAATAAGATCCCAGGCACAATCAAAGACATTGATCCTGAATTCTCAGAAATGGGATTTTAAATAAACACCATGCAAAAAGTATGCATGAGCAAACAAGTCAACCTGAAAGGCGGGAAGAAGGGAGTGATGTGATCCATCATTTTTCTCTGAAAATTGATGAACAAAAAGCAAACACAATAAAGTCACCTCAGGAGGGCAGGGGCTTGTTTTGTTTTCCCTTTGGCCCACTTAATAGCGAAGGGCTTTCTTCAATGTTTTTATAGGGGATACCTAGCACACTCATAAAAACTGAACTGCTTCCTTTAAGATTTTTTTGGCCCCTCCGGAGCATAGCCAATGACTTTTATGGGGCTGTTTCACTGTACTTGGGAATTTCTGAAAGCATGGTTTAAGTGGCAAAACAATAATTCAGTATTAAAGCAAAATGTAAAAAAAAATAGGCCAAGTAAAAACAGGGGCCTACTGACTGCCACCTAGATGCGCTCAGGATAACCTTGAGCCCACAAATATTCATCTACCTATCAACAGAAAGATAAGCTGGAGGTTAACCTGAGTAACTAGTCTTTAACAGTTTTCACTCAGTGCTTTTAGTGGGTTTGGCACTTCAAAGACAGCTTTGTGATACAATTTATAATTCTAAAACATGCTCAGTAAATAAGAAAAAAATGATCAGAATCATCTGAATTCCTTTTTGAAGCATACTTAGTTAAAGTATCCAAAATTAGCAAGTAATATAACCTATACTTTCTTCCTATTTGTTAATTACCCTTAACAAACTGGCTTTCATTTGGGGAGATTAAAAGAGACAGCCATAGTATTGTATCACTCAAGCTACAAATTAATCATTCAACTTAGAAAATAGTCTTCTGGACAGCCCTCAGCCTATGGAGTACCTCGTACTTTAAAGAATGTTCATAACATATAATCAATTCACTTAACCTGCTACAGCAATGAGTGTGTGGCACCCCTTTATACAAAGATATGTTACTGCCATGAATACATAAACAAACAACAAAATTAAATTTCTACTCAAAACCTTTGACTCAGCTCCATTTCAAGGTCATGTGCTAACCGGCCCAACATCCTTGCCAGCAAGTTCATCAAACTATAACGCTTTAGGAGAAATATTTATTGCTGCGTACTAAAATAAACCCCAACACACAGGTATCATTACAAAAGCTGCCCTTGCCTGGAGTTTCTTGATCTGGAAAGCATTCAGTCTTTCTCGGTACAGGCGCCTTAACTGTAATTCCTAGAAGGCGCTGGCAAATCTCTGTCAGGGCAATCTGCGGTGGAAAATCGAGCGCATGTGTCCAACAAAATGACAGGAAGGCCAATGTTTCTTCTAACCATCTTTAGCTCTGCAGGGCAATAGCGGTTCAGCCTAACACCATAAACACAGTAATTGTATGGGATCGAACACAGCTCATGTCAGTGAGGATCAGCCTAACCACAAACAGGCAGCTCTGGGGAAATAGAATCTCTGAACAAAAACATGGGGCTTGCACAATTCCACAAACACATACACGTCAATTTTTACAAGTGTCCCGTCGCTGCACTGTTCTGAAACTTTTCCCACCTAAACTTCTCAGCACAAGACTGGCCTAAAACCCGGTGCCAATCCGTGCACAGGGCAACAGTGGCATGCACCACGACTAGACCGGTGAGGCAAATACCATCGGTATAGTGGCCTGCCCCTACCCAATCCAGCTCAGACCGGGTTGCAATGCAGTTTAGTCCTGTCTACTTTCTGGTAATGTGCTTTTAAAATCCCGCCGCGACCCAGGTCATTTCTTTTGAGATCTAATAACAACCAAATGACTGGAGCTGCCGGGCACTTAGTGAGCCATTCTGGTTATGGCTCTTTAATAGCACCTGGAGTTGGGCTGGAGGGAGAGCGGAAAACTCCAGCTTCCCGGGAAAGAAAGTGGTGCGCGAGGAGCGCGGAGCGGAGCGCAGGGCGGTCCCATCGCCCGCGCCCCGCCGCGCCTTTACCTGTCAGCCCCGCCGCCCGGCCTCCCCGAGGCCGCCCCACGGCGTCCTGCACACGGTGGGAGAGAGCCCGAAGGCATCCCATCCCGAAGCAAGCAAGCGGAGAGGCTGCCGCTCAGGCGGGGCCATCGGGCGCCGTGCGATCGAGAGGCGACACGCCGCCCCCGCCCCGCACCTACCAGATAATCCATGTACAGAAACGCCTCAGTTATCCGGAGATCAGACATCCGGCAGCCTAAAGCATCCGGAACGGCTCCGAACCCGGAAAAAAAAAAGCAGCGTCTCTCTGGCTGCGAGCGAGCAGCTCCTGAAAAAGCCAGCAACAGCGAAAATCGCCGAGAGCAGCCGAGGAGCCGAAGATTACACCAGGGCGACGCCGATTGGTCGGGAGGGCGGGCAGAAGGAAAGGAGCACGCTGATTGGCTGAAGCGCCTATAAAAGGCAGGCCCGCGTTGGCTGGCTGGAGAGAAGCGCGGGAGCTGTGAGCTGCCGGTTCCTGTGGTGGGGGGAGGGGCGCGCGGGCGGAAGCGCCAGCCTGAGGGTGGGAAATGCGCTGCGGCCGCGGCCGCGTCTGTCTCCTCGAGTCCGGGAAAGCGGAGTGGAGCTGCTCGCTCCCGGCTGCAGAACCGTAGTGTCCCCGCCCGCCCTCGGAAGGAAACCCGCGCTGTGCTGTGGGAGGCGTGGTAGCCACCGAAACTTACTTTCTCTGCCCCAAGCGCTTTCCTAAAGATTTCTGTGGCCTCGAGATAGCTGGAGAAGTGTGTAGCTGGGTAGATAGGCAGGACATCTGCGCACGACTTAGGACGCTCCATGGTTCCCGGTGCCTGCAGCTCCCGAGGCGGACAGTTTGCACAGAGGTCTGCTGCTGCAGGGCCCCAGCCGCCCGTGCAGCCCAGGGCGGGGACCCGGAGGCGCCTCTAAAACAGCAGGCAGCTTCTGGCGATGTCGCTGTACCCCACGTCTGAGCTGTACTCCCAAATCCTGGTGGTGGGGGTACTCATCGGTTTTTCGCATGCTTTAAAGTCCAATTAAAATGAGCAAAGAAATTGGAAGCTCCCTAAAAGGACCTAATTAATACTATTTGTAACAGTATCTTAGAGGGAAAAAATTCTATAAGCAGATGCACTTGAGACTTGTACGTTTCCTGGTAAAAAGCTTAAAAGTGGGCACTGGCATTACAATGCTGAAATGAAGCTGGGTGGAAAGGCGAGAGTCGGGCAAGAAGTTAAGATGACAGTCAAAACAAAGGTGAGACAAGTGTGCCTTCTTTGGAAGTGGGTATATAGAGAGAACCCAGTACAAAAACGAATATTAATGTTTCATACCTTTTGTACCGGTAATTCTATATCCAGAAATTCTTAGGATAATGAGAGGTAGATAGTGTTATTCATTCACTTCATTGTTTATATAGCATTAGTCAAAGGATTTGTTGACGCGGTACACTTAAACAATAGAGCTTTATATAGCCGTTAAACATTTATGAAGTTTCATGATATGGCGAAGTTTATAGTGAGATGTATTCTTCCCTAAGATATATGTCAAACAAATGAATAACAGAGGAGTATTCTCGATGATAGAACTTGGGAGACTAAGTTGCAAAAATATATTCTGCTATTTCCTGCCAAGCACAGTTATCTTATTAGGCCCAGGTGATTGAAGCCCCCCCGAAGTCTTAAGAGAGGGGACTTGATCTCACCTGTGTTGGTAATGAGGATTGCATACAGTCACAAGTCAAGTAAAACAACTGCAATCTTTCTGAACTGCCTGACTGTCCAGATGGCATAGGGGTTGGGATTTTTTCCTTCAACGCCTTCCCCTTGACACTTTTTTGTGTCCTCAACAAATTTCCATACAAGTATCTGGAACTATCAAAACACTTCTGTTACAGAAAACCATAGAATTCAACCTAGATATACACAGAACCAGGAAGGGTGTGTGGTCCCTTCTACAGCAGATTCACGGGCCACATGACTAGATACACTATGTAATCTCTGAACCTGTTTCCTCACAGAATGGAAATTCTTACAGCCAGGGGGAGTTTCAAGGTAAAGGATTATGAATACACACACATATCAGGGCTTGATTTTGTTGATCCAGTTTCCAAGGTATTTGTATAAGTAACTTCCAAAGAAATTGCAATGAGATTTGTTTTTCTATTGAAGGGCTGAGGAGTCTCAATTGCATTAAGCCACTAGATCCAGTTTTTATTTATTTATTTATTTTGGTGTTTTGTTAACTCAAACACATGTAAGCTTACAAGAAATTTTTATGTGGATTCTGAAGGCAAAAAAACTCTGTAAACCTAGTCTTCACCATAGCTAGTTAAAACTACAGAAATCAAAAAGTCTTTCAAATGCCTAGCAAAAGTAATTTAGTCAAGAAAGCATTTCTTTTTCTCTCATTTTTTGTTTTCCTTCTCTCCATGAATCAGCATATTGCAAGTAAGATAAAGAGCTTGAGTTAGCAAAGAAATACATTTTGATTAAGAGGCCTGGTGGTTCTGGGCAGAAGATAACCACTGAGGAGCAGTTGGTTTCTGCTTTTACTTAAACAGCTATGCTTAGGAAAAGACAGTTCTGAACAGAAGATTTTTAGGCTAAATGACCTGGGGGACTTCTAGGAATCAGAATCTGTACATGGGACAGAAGCAGGGAAATAAAACAATCTGTTCACAGAAAAATTCCAAAGGCTGCATCATGGTACTACCCATAATCATGTTCATTATCACTGTCATCTATGAGAACTTTATGTTTAGTATAATATATTTTTTACATCTGTTTTGCATTTTGGAAAAATCCTTGCAAGGTGAAAAAAAAAAAAAAAAAGGCCTGCAGGACCATGGGAGCGCAGCGATCAGCGCCAGGACCATGCATTTTCATTAGGTGTCTTCTGGGAGGTAACATGGTACTGTGAAAGAGGAAGGAGGCTAACTCGACTGTATTGGTTTGAGCACAATCTACTACACAGGTAAAATAGCGGTTGTAATGGGATTGGTAACAGGGTCCTAGTCACCTACCACTTGCTCTTGAAAAGAATGCATTTATTTAACTCATCCTACTGTATGCCAATTAACAGGCTTAGGTCTTGAATAAAACATTAATCTAGTCCTGCCTCCTTTCAGTCAAAAAACAATGACTCTTCTAGAGGAGTAAGAAACCAGATATACTCATGAGGCAATCACATTACCACACAAAATGTGAGGAAAGAGGCCTTCACTACTGTTTGTTAAAAGTAAAAAGAAATTCTTCTGACCATCCACACAGTACAAGTCCAGAAAGGTTGCTGGTGAACCAAGGTTGGGGGAACTTTTTTTAAGTGTCACTTGTAGAGGACATAAAAATATTTTTGTAAATTCTACCACTCAAGAAAAAAAACAAAGTAGTGGCTACTTCAGTCTACTCTTTTGTTGTTCATTTGTTTGGTATATAACTTGGGGAAGAAAACTGCCTTTAGTAGTTGTTTATCATGCAGAGTCACTCTAAAATTCACTGTATCATGAAATGCTCCTTAAAAGTTCAATGGCTATGTAAAGTTCTATTGTATAAATGTATTATGTTAACCTGGTGTGGTGCCGCATTCCTTTGATCCCAGCACTTGGGAGGTAGAGGCAGGCAGATCTCTGTGAGTTCAAGGCCAGCCTGGTCTACATAGTACATAGTGGATTCTAGGCCAGCTGGGGCTACAGGTAAACCCTGTCTCAAAAAGACCAAAAAAGAAAGAAAAGAAATGTATTACATTAACAATCTTTTATGTGGATAGTATATAATAAATATTCCAATGAATGTTTACTAATAAAATTGCACAACTCTTTATCCTGATGCTACCATCTAAAAGAGTCATTTTAAAACCAGGTGTGGTGACACTTGTCTTTAATCCTAGCCAGTACTTGGGAAGCTGAGGCAGGTGGATATCAGGTTAGCCTGGTCTACATAGTGAGTTCCAGGCCAGCTGGGGCTACACGGAGACCCTGTCTAAAATAAACAACAACAAAAGCAAAACAAAACACACACACACACACACTGAACTCACTCCATAATGGAAATAATCCATCAAGAGGCATGGTAGAGAAAAAGCTTTATTACAATAAGCTAGCTAGTCAAAAGTTGGCAGGGATTCTTATCCCTAAAGAGTCATCTTGTAGGGAAAGTCATTTACAGGGAAGGTTATAAAGTAGTAGAGGGATGATCAAAGACTGATGGACACCTCACAGGTGAAGATGCCAACTGACATCTCATTGTAATCACCTAGTGATGAGATGTTTCTGTCTTTTACAAGAATGCGGAACAAAGATCATTTTTCTCCTTCGAGTTATTACTGTCACTGATTAGTATGTCTACTTGCAATTCCTGAAATAGACAGGCTAGAGGGGTTAGCTGTCCCAATGCATTTTTATTGGTTGCCAAACTAAACATAATGAAAATACTTCACCTATTATAGAAGGATCAGATGAAGATAGCTAGAAAGTCAGCATGCAAGCTCAGTTTCAATGTATAGCTTCACTATGAAATCAATAACAATAAAAACAATCCTAACTTTAAAGTGATAGTTATAGCAGGAAAAGGTGAACAGACCTCATAAACAATCACCATTTAAAGAGTAAATATCAAGAAGCTGTGTAAATCCTTCTTAATGCTTCCCCAGGATCATTTAAGCTCTTAGATACAGAATACATTGCAGCCTTTATTAATTTCCTGTTTCTACTATAGTAAATTACCACAAGGATAATGACTTGTGTGGTATTTTGAATGAAAATGTCCCCCATAGGCTCCAAGTATCTGGACATTTTGTTCCCAGTTGGTTGTGCTTTTTTGGGAAGACTTAGAAGGTGTGGTTATCCTGGAGAAAGCATGTCACTGGGGGTGGGCTTAGAGAGTTCTTAAGCCTTGCCAGATCTCCAGTCACTCTCTTGTTTCCTGTGTCTGCTTGAAGATATAGAGCTTAGCTTCCTCTCCTCCTACAGCCACCTCTGCCCCATGCCTCCCCACCAAGACAGACTGTAATTCCCCTGGAACCGTAAGGTCAAATAAATTCTTCCTTTCATAAGTTGCTTTGGTCAGTGTTTCTATCACAGCAGCAGAAAAGTGACTAATACAACTTGAAATACAAATTTATTCTCTTACAGTTGTGCAAACTAGAAGTTCCAACAGTCTTATAAGTATAAAATCAGGATAGTGAGGGCTAGTTTCTTTTGGAGCCCGGGGGAGAATCCCTGCATTATGTTACCTTCAGCTTTGGACTGGTGTCAGCATCCCCTTCAGAAGGGTACCAGCATCCCCTCAGGCTACATCACTTCACCACTGTCTTTCCTTCATGGTCTCATAGCCACCTGCTCTTCTGTA